TTGTGACCTGCCTACAGACCTAGACACATGGCAGGGGTCAGAGTGCAGCCTGCCGTTAGTGAAAGTGGTCCCTGGCTTATTGCCAGGAAGAAAACAGAGGCCTCAGTCCTACCAGAACAAGGAACTGTGTTTTACCAACAATCACAGGCTTGGAAGAGAACTCAAGAGTTTCAGGGAGGAGCACAGGCCAGTAAGCATCTGGACTGTAGCAATGTGACACGCCAAGCCAAGCACCCAGCTAAGCTGTGCCTGGACTTCTGACCCCAGAAATGGTGAGATAGTACATTTATGTTGTTTTCAGCCACTTAGTTTGTGAGGATTTGTTATGCAGCAGTGAAAACTAATACAAATCAGGTCATTATTCTTTGGTGGACAAAAGGGGAGAATACATTAGAAAGGAAGGCATATTGGTTTGTTTTTGTTATATTTTTTGATAGATCACAAAGTCATGAGTAAAGAAATTAAAGATTAAGTCCTTTAGTATAAATCAGTACCGCCAGGTTGCAAATATCCATTACCTCCTCCCCATTATTCTCCAAGGGCTCTGGATCATCATTTAGGGAGATTCTAAAACATCCAGAGAAAGTCCATGCTTTCTGCGTGAAATGTGAATGGAGGAATCTGAATGGATTGGTTCTTAGGCACCAAATAGTAGAACGACCATACTTCCCAATTATACATGTCACAGTTATCCAGTAAACACTCCCTTTCATTAACAAAAGTGCCCCATTATAGATAATACGTTACATTTTCACCTGACCCATAAGATGTCTGATCCACTAGAACCATTGTAGAAAATGTGGGAGGCTCTTAATCCAACAATTTTTTCCTTGAGTGGGTGGGAGAATGGATAAGCAAGTTAAGTCTCTAGAGCAGTGGTTTTTAACCTATTTAAATAGAATTTCCCTTTGAAAATCTTTGGAAAGCTATGTACTTCTTTTACCATAGTTATGCACATAATCACATAATGCACAAAATGTCCGACATATTTGAAGGGATTTATAAATCCTTCCAAAGTCCATTCATAGATCCCTTTATTCTTGGAGTCCACATTAAAAACTCAGCTTGAGTATAAAAATCACAGAGCCGCTAGTCTGAAGTCAGTCTGAACTTGCCTATTAATGTCTGATTTTTAGGACCCCAGTGATGCCTCCTGAATATCAGGTATAGGCCAAAGCTAGCCATCTACCTCTCCTTGTCAGGGTCCACTAAAACCATCAGTAAAAGTAGATTACAGCCTACAACACCAATGGCAATATGTTACTTCAGTTCTGGAAGAAAGAAGAAAAAATATTACTGCCACAGTAAGAAAGGATAGGGAAGAAATGGTGACTCAAAGTGTTATCCACTTAAACCAATACAGGTCTGAGTTGATGTTCCTGATGATAAAAATAAAATCAAGAACAAAAGTCTAAACAGCCACACAGAAAATTGCTTTGTAGTGTGCCTCAAATATGCATATTACAATATACACTGTATTCTCACTGTTCACAAAAAAGATACAATTTATTCCCACTTTTCAATCACCTTATAGGGACTTCTATAATGTGTTCATTGCTCAGTTAGATTGTCACACCATAAGTATGGGGGTTAACCATTTTCTTCTCTACACCTTGTAGGAGTCAACAGAATGAAACATCAGCCTTCTGGTAAGGATTAGGAAGATCACACAAGGTTTTCCTCCTATTTCCAAGGGTTGAACAGTAGTTGCATAATTGGAAAAGCCTGAAAACCACTAGCCCAGGTACCTCTGTTGACTGGAATTAAAACATTAAGGGAAATATTCCTATGTGGTCTTCTCACTCCTACTGGGGTTTCTAACAGATGCATTGTCTTCAACTCAATAAATTTACTGGGACAGACTTTGTTCATACACAAGAGAAGCCTGCAATATGGACTCAATTATTTTAACACAGAGGAAAGTATTCAGGGATCCCACGTGGCCACTGATCCAAGCTGCACTTTCTAATCCAGTTTTGTTAGGAATAACGCTTATATGTCCATCCCTGACACCAAGGTCTATTTTGAATTGGTTCCAAACTCAAAGGAAAAGAACAGATAGTGCTCTATGAAGAGACACTCTCAAATACTTTGTTTTGAGCAAAGGAAAATTATCTCATTTTTTTTCCCTTTCTTGGTAAAGGAAACTTCTAATGGACCTAATTTGCATGAAACATATTGATAGGATTACTCAAAGAGAATTACTACACAGTGGTAGCTATTAGGAAATAGACTACAAATCCCATGCCAAAAGAGCCTTAGTGAGACACTTATTCCCAAAGTCTCTGTATAGCCATTAGTAACCAGAGCTCCACATCAAGCCAGCTTCAGGGTGCCTTGACAAACTTGGTCCTCCAATTTCTGTCCTTCTAGGTTATTGGGATAAGTCAAAGTCTACTAGGATATTTAATCCCAGCTACAGATTTTACTGATAACATTTCAGTAATCTATTGGTATTATAATATTATTTTGTTTTCTAGAAACTTGGAATAAACTAAGAAAGTGAGCCAGTAGTAGAAAAAACAGTGCTTTGAAACTTCAAGACAGAAGAGTGATAGAAACATACAGTAATGTCCAGATGAGTTTAGAATCAGTCACGACTGGAAGAAATTATTTACACATTATATCTGATAGAGACCTTGCATCCAAAGTATACAAAGAACTCTTCACAACTGGATAATAAGAAGGAGAGTGACCCAATTTGTAAAATGGTCAAATATTTGAATACACATTTCCCCAGGGAAAATGCAGGTATGGCTGATAAGTACATGAAAGATACTCAACAGCATTAGTCAAATGCAAATTAAAACCAAAAAATTAAAAACAATGAGCTACCAGGCCCACCCGTTAGAGTGACTATCATAATAACAAAAAAGGCAAGAAGGTGAGGATGTGAAGAAACTACCGCTCACAACCCCACACTTGGCTGGTGGGTATATAAAACGTGCAGCCCCTTTGAAAAACAGTGTGGCAGTTTCTTTAAAAAGTTAAACACAAATTCACCATATCAACAAGCAATTCTACTTTTAGGTAGCTACTCAAAAGAAATGAAATCCTCACAAAGACTTGTTGATACCCAAAATGTCTGTCAACTGGTGAATGGATAAATGAAATATACTATACCCATAGAATGCAATACTATTGGGTGATTGGGTGATAAGAAGCAACAAAGTACATACATATACCGCAACATGGACGACTCTCAGAAACATTCTGCTAAATGAGAGAAGCCGGCTGCAAGACTCCATGTAGTATCCGAATCCATTAATACAAAATACACCAAAAGTCAAATATATGGAGAAAGAAAGTAAATTCGTAATTTCCTGGGGCTAGGGCAGGCAGGTGAAGAGAGTGCTCTAAAATTGGACTGGGGCGATAGTTGCACAGCTCTGTAAATATACTAAGAGTCATTAAATTATACACTTAAAATGGATGAATTTTATGGCATGTAAATAAGTCCTTCATAAAGATTTTTAAAAAATTCATAATGAATTGGACAATAATCAATGTGTCATTACAAAAGAGACTAAATGGATGAACTATTTCTGAGGGCAGTATGGCAGTGTCTGTCAAGACTTTAGATATATATACCCTTTGACCCTCCAACATTATTAGGCATTTGTCCTATGTATATACTCATATAAGTGCACAAAAATAGATGAACAAGGATCTTGCCTGAAATAATTTGAAATCTTAACCCCCCCACAAATATTCTGAATGTCTTTTATTAGGGTAATAGTGACATGAACTAAGATCTATCCACAAAATAAATTGTTATTCAGAATTTTTTAAGGACTGAGGTAGATATTTAGGCGCTATTGTGTCTAAGATACATTGTTAAGTAGGAAAAAAAAAGCAAATTATGTAACATATACATATTTCCACTGGAATAAATATATGTGTTTGTACCTGCACAGAGACTGTCTGAAAAGATAAACCCTAATATGTCCGTGAAGGGTAGGGTTAGGTGAGAAGGGAATAAAGAACTTCACTTTTAATTTATGTGTGTCTTTTTTTTTTTTAAGATTTTATTTATTTATTTGACAGAGAGAGATCACAAGTAGGCAGAGAGAGGGAAGCAGGCTCCCCACTGAGCCAAAAGCCCGACTCAGGACTCCATCCCAGGACCCTGAGATTATGACTCGAGCCGAAAGCAGCGGCCTAACCCACTGAGCCACCCAGGCGCCCTAATTTATGTATATCTTTACACCATTTTAACTTCTCACAAGTAACATGTATTACTCTTAGAAAAAACAAATTTAAATTAATGAAGAAAAAGCCACTAACAGAAAAAGCAAGTTAAAAAAGAGAAGCAGTTAGTTGGTCACCACTTGAAAGATTAACAGTTAAGCACACTAAAGCTTTCTGAGGTAATAAAAAGGAAGCCTACATTATAGTTAACTTTTTTTGTGAAAGAGTGATCTTCTTAGTCTCTGCTTTGGTGAACACGGGAAAGGTAGCTTTTAACGATTTTAGTATATAGTATATGGAATTATACGAGAGATCAAAAATGGCTGATTATATAGATAGCTTAATGAAGATACCACTCTTAGAGGAATCATGGACAATTTTCCACCTGCTCCTTATGGTGGCAGTCTGCTCAGTATTGAACTGTTTTTCTCTGATGTAGGAGTATGAAAAGACCGTCTTTGCTTCACTCTGAGTACATGACAGCAGGGTAGTAATGGTAACAATTACTACTTACTGAGTGTCTACTGTGAGTTGGCTACTTTACATGTACACATTTTCCCTAATCCTTGCATCAAGCCTGCAACATAGCAATTATGGTCCTCTTTCCCTCATTTGGTGAGACAGGCTCAGAGAATGCAATTCCTTGCAAGAAGGGGCACAGAGAATAAGTGTTCATAGAGCGAGGTCTCCTTGCTGTCAAAGCTGACATTCTTCCATCAAGCCTTACAGTAACATAGAACGCTGTTAGAGAGAACACCTTTCATGATTTGAAGAGCCAAGCAGGGTCACTTCAAGGTACACATTCTTACCTGATCCTCTACCTCTTGAGAGCTGTCAACGTCCGTGCTGTTTGTTTCAAACTTTCCACAGGTACCGCTAAGAGATGAGCTGCTATCACTTATGCTACTTTCCGGGGTGCCAGTGACACTGTCACTAGCTGGCCGCGAGGACACAAAGAGGCTGATGTTATCAAAATCATCATCACCAAACCTGTTCTCAGTGTCCACCTTCTGTACTTTCGCTGGATTGTAGGGTTTTAAGAAGGAGGAATACACATATCCTTTTATAACTGGATAAGAATTAAAAGAAAGAAGAAACAAGGTCATTTGTATGGACCCTCACCAAACATTGGGGTTTAGACAAGCCCAGAGAGGCCCCTGGGAAAATCTCAATTTGAAAAAAGATGGTAGTTCTGCACATTTTAGGCCAAAAACTTACTTCCTGTATCAACAAGCCACCTGCTTGTACTCCCCAGCGGATCCTTCTGTTCCACCACAGCCACCAACTCCCCTTCCAGAAGATTGATGTCATATTCTTGGGTAGCGTTACACTTGCGTTTCGCTTGGTAGAGTTCTTCTTTACCATATGTGGATAGTAGTTTGGAGCGGTGAATGTCAGTTTGACGGGGCACTTCTGGCTGGGAGAAGGAAGGAGAAATTTGGATATAGATAGATGTGTAATAGAATTCTCACTGAGCTGCAAAGATTCCTTCTTTGGAGATTTTTTTAAATGTGGAAGCCATACATTGATTTGGGATGATTTCATTGTTGAAGCGTTGATGGAGTTATTATTGTGAAGCAACTGTTCCAGTTATGCAGTGAAAAATTCTCTAGTTAGCACATGAGGGCAGTGTTGCAGAGAAAAAAGAAAATTCAACTGATTGTAAGAAGGCAGAGGTTCTAATCCCTCTTGGATGGAATAATTTTTAATTTTGGCCATCCTGTAGACAATCCCTTGTATATTAAGCACTTGATAAATAATATTTAATTAAGTTGCACATTTGCATGTCTTTTTCTGGGAAAAAATATCGGTAAATTAGTCAGAAGGCAAGAGGTCTAGACCCCTCCCAGTTCTGCCTCCAGTGATTTTGAAAAAGCCACTTCATCTCTGGAGCTGAGGATTCCTTATCTAGAAAAAGGAAAGAGTGGAACTACTGCAATTTTGCTCTATAAAATTCTCTTCATTCATTCAACAGATATTTATATCTGTTGTCAGGCACCATTTTAACAGCTTGGAATATATCACGTACAGAACGGATAAAAAAAATCTATGACCTTACAGAACTCATAGTATAGAAGGTAGAAATAAACAAGAAATCCTACGTATAATGGGTTGGTAAATTACAGGTTATTAAAATGAGATAAGTGATTTGGAAAATAATATAACATGATTTGAACAAGAGGTGAGAGTCCTTGTCACGAATACTATCTAACTCACCAGAATTTGCACAGACTTCTTCTTTTCAAAACTAAGTTTCCTCTCAATAAAAGTGGCACCATTGTCCTTCACAAAATTAAGATTTTGAACCTCTTCTAGTACTCGATTCTGAATTTCAGAGATTCTTGAGTCCAACAGTGGTACCTATAGGGAGAAATGGTAGGGCATTGTTCTCAAACTATTCAACCATATTAGGTATTAAATTTAGTAGGGTTGTGACAAACAGAGAAAGCGTAAGATAGCACCACCAAAAAAAAAAAAAAAAAAAAAAATAAGGCAATGTTAGAACTTTTGGATAAAAATGGTCTGATTTCCTGTCTCCAGAAACCTCACTAAAATGATAGGGATAATTGTTTTTAAAGACTCAAGCCTAGGGGTGCCTGGGTGGCTCCGTCAGTTAAGTGTCTACCTTCGGCTCAGGTCATGGTCTCTGGATCGTGGGATTGAGCTCCACGTCAGACTCCCTGCTCACTGGGGGAGTCTGCTTCACCCTCTCCTTCTGCCTGACTCCCATCCCCCACCCCTGGCTTATGCTCTCTCTCTCTTTCAAAAAAATAAATCTTTAAATAAAATAATAAAAGTACAGACCTAAATAAAAGAATAAAGAGAAATAAAAAGCAAAGGAATTCTGGAAGAAGGCTTAGGAATCAATGGCAGTAGGGTCCTCCAAAGTGGTAGGAATGGATAGGGGGAAGGAGAAAGAAACTAAAACAGAAAGCATTGGTGAAGAGGCTGTGGTGGTTTTTTAAAAAATCAGCAAATTCTTTGACATGTCTCTCATCAAGAGGGGGAGTCCATGTCCTCTCTCCTCAAAAGTGATTGGGTTTTTAGAATTGTCTCCTTGAATAGACTATGGAAATGAACAGAATTGATGCTATCTGACTTTAAAGATTAGGCTAAAAGAGACTACTCGGTTTCTGCTGGTTTCTCTTGGGACACTCACTCTGACAGACTTTAGTGGCCATGGAGGAAGTCCAGTTGCACTGTGGCCACCATATCAAAAAACCATGTTGAAAGGTCAGGTTGGGGGAGGTTTATGGAGCCCCAGCTGTCCTGGTCCCCAACTATTTGAGTCTTCTATCATCATCACATCTCCCACCCCAAACATGGGCTTGAGGAAGTCTTTGAGATGACTCTAGCCCCAGCTATTATGAGACTGCAATGTCACAGAGACACTGAGAATGACTGCCCCGATCCTAGGGAACCTTCAGAACCACAGCAGTAATAAATGACCATTGGTTGCTACATGTTACCATGTTTGATATAATTTGTTATGCAGTTGTAGACAATTGGAATCATCCAAATGGCCATCACTAGGAATAGAATAGATTGATACGTAAAACCCTAAGTACTGTATGATTCCATTTTGGGGAGATACAAACCAGGCATAACAGTCTGTGGTAACACAGATCAGAAAACTGGTTACCTTTGAGGGGCGGGAGGCAAAAAATGGTCATGAGTGGCTGTTATGGAGCACTGAAAAGGGCTAATATCTAGATCTGGATGGTGGTTACACAGATGTATTTATTTGCAAATACGCACTGAGATGTACACTTTAGACTGATGCACTTTACTGTATGTAAGCTATACTTTAGTTTAAAAAGTTTAAGGTAGGAGGATGATCAAAGAACTGCAAATCAAAACCATAATGAGATATCACTTCACACCCACTGGGATGGCTATAAAACAGAAGACAGAGAGATGTAAGGAAATGGAAACTTAGTCAACACTGTTGAGAATGTAGAATAGTACAGTTGCTTGGGAAAATTCTGGCAGTTCTTGAAAGGTACACAGTTAGCATATGATCCAGCAATTCTACTCCTAGAATTGTACCCAAGAGAAATGAAAACAAACCTCCACCAAGACCTTGAATGTTCCTAGCTGCAGTATTCATAGTAGCCAAAAAGTAGAAATTTAACCCAGATGTCCATCCACTGATGACGGATAAATAAAATGTGGCATATCTATACAATGAAATATTATTTGGAAATAAAAAGAATTAAGTTCTGAAACACACTACAACATGGACAAACCTTGAAAACATTACGCTAAGTGAAAGAAGCGCATCACAAAGAGCCACATATTATATAACTCTATTTATATGAAATGTCCAGAATAGGCAAATCTGCAAAGATAGAAAGTAGATTGGGGTTTCTTAGGGCTGGGGGTTTGGGGAAAATGTAGATTCACTGCTAATGGTACTGGGTTTCTTTTGAGGGTGATAAAATGTTCTAAAATTGATTGTGGTGATGGTTACACAACTCTTGTAAAAATACTAAAAACCACAGAATTGTGTACTTTAAATGGGTGGAATATATGGTATGTGAATTATATCTCAATAAAGTTGTTATCCCAAAAACAAGGGGCTGGTTATACCCTGTTGTACAGCAACACAGTAGACTAGCATAAAGCTATCAAAGGGATGAGAAAGCTGTCTGTGCTGACATGGTGCACCCTGAGGAGATTAAAAGGCGAATTGCACGATGGTGCCATAATATCCTGGTTTTCTACAGGAAAAATAGATACATATTTTCATTTACTTCTAACGGCATGAAGAAACCCTAAACGGCTAAACTAGTAACAATGGCGGTGATGGTAGGAGATGGGTGGTTAGGGAACAGGAGTCTGTGTGAGACTGCTTATATGTTTTTATGTAGTTTTGCCTTTTGAACCAGGTAAATGTAGCACCTGCTTTTTCAACTTAATTTAATTCAAAGGATAAGTTAAAAGTTAATTAAATGCACAGTAAAAAATAAAGTCAGGACAATTAATTTTCCTCCAAACGTTGTCCATTAAACATCTAACCAGCTGAAAAAGAACTAATTGAAACAAAGGGCAAAGAAACCACACTGATTCTTTTAAGTTGATAGTAGCTTGTAAATATCATTCTTCTTCTTCAGGAAAATAGTCATAAAATCATACCTTAACGGAAAGCTAAATTACACGCAAACGCACACACACACCCTAGACTTTTTTCCATAGAGGAAAACAAAAGCAAAAAAAAAAAAAAAAAAAAAAAAGACTGGCTTGACAGTTTTCCTGCTTCTGTCTTTACACTGAGATGACCTTCTTTTTGGAACCATGTCTTAAGTAGTCATGGTTAGCATTAAAGAACCGTTGAATAGGAAGAGATACAAAATACAAATTGATAAGCTTCAGCAAAGCATCATGCAGTTTGGAGCTAAAAGGTGTTTGGCATTTGAAAAGAAACCTCCAAGAAGAACTAAGGTGTGGAAATCAGAATAAACATGAACTAGGAAAGTTTCCTGAGGAGAAAAGAGAAAGAAATTGAAAGACTGTGTGACTAGCTTCAGTTCAGTGCCCGCCACGTGCGCACACGCACTGCACATGTGCACACTGTGAGCAAGGCCGTTTCACAGGGCTGTGGTTTCTCGCAGATCCTGCTGGCCTCGCTAGCCAGGTGCTGGTGCGGAGCTTACCGGCGCCACTGTGGAGTAAACCTGCTGAGCCTCGAGGGTCAGGTCTCTGAGGAGAGCCATGAAACTGCACAGACAGTTCCACAGAATCTTTCGAGCAGCCTGGTTGAACACCTGGAGCTCCTCGACGAGCTGGGCATTGAGGGCCTCATACTCCTTTTGGGCCAAGTCTGTCTCATCTCCGGCTACCCGTGGTAGGGAGCTGTTGCAGTCCAGCAGTTTGTCATAGCGTTTCTGGATGAGCTTCTGCGGCCCCGTGAATAAGGACAGCAGGGCCGACAGGGGCATCAGGATGAGCCTCTGTAAATGGGCTGCCTGCCGAGAGAAAAGCAATCCTGTGACAGAGTAAGGAGCAACCAGTACAGGTCCTGTGCTATCGCCAGTAGACTTACTTCCTCCCTGCAGGAGCTCAGAGGACCATGGGAAATTCTGTAGCCAAGTGAAGAGACCTTGTGATCTGACATACATGGGTGGCTCAGATGGTTAAGCATATGCCTTCTGTTCAGGTCATGATCTCTCTGGGTCCTGGGATCAAGCCCCATACTAGGCTCCCTGCTTAGCAGGAAGTCTGTTTCTTCCTCACCCTCTCCCCTCTGCTCCTGTTCTCACTCTCAAATGAATAAATAAAATCTTAAAAACAAGAGAGAATGTGATTTTTTTTTTTTTTTTTTTTTTTTTGTCTAGCTAAATCTGCTCAAAAGACTTAAAACAATGACTCTAGAGTCTAACACTGAATGTAAAAGCAAGAAGAGGAATACAAAAGCTAAAGCCTACACACCCAAAATGCACTCCATCTTTCTTTCTACAGGCATTGGGTTTTGTCATTGGGGTCATCTTCAGCACTTTGCCCTTCCCCTTCTTTCTAATCCCGGAGTCAAGTGGAGTTATTTCAGTCCATGTGTTGGAAGGCAAACTCTGGTCTCTGACCACCAAGACTGTGCAAATGACTCACCATATTATTCCCTTCCTTTGCTGACAATGAAGGTAGTCTCAGAAAAGACTGTATCCTAGTCCTCCCACATCTGCCCAGTTACCCGGCTACCCTGATGGCTCATTTTGGGTAGTGGAACTTCATATCCTATACAGATAAGTACCTCCTTAATCAGGTGTTTTGCTCCTGTGATAGAAATGACAACAGAAGGCACCTGGGTGGCTAAGGCAGTTAAGCATCTGCCTTCAGTTCAGGTTGTGATCCTGGGGTCCTGGGATCTAGCTCCACATCAGGCTCTCTGCTCAGTCGGGAGTCTGTTTCTCTCTCTGCTTCTGCCCCATCCCCTGGTCGTGTGCTCCCTCTCCTCTGCGCTCTTTCTTTCTCAAATAAATAGTCTTTTTTTTTTTTAAGATTTTTATTTATTTGACAGAGAGAGTCACAGCAAGAAAAGGAGCACAAGCAGGGTGAGTGGGAGAGGGAGAGGGAGAAGCAGGATTCCCGCTGAGCAGGAGACCAATGTGGGGCTTGATCCCAGGACCCTGGAATCATGACCTGAGCCCAAGGCAGACGCTTAATGCCTGAGCCACCCAGGCACCCCAAATAAATAGTCTTAAAAAAAAAAAAAAAAGAGGAATGACAACAGAGTTACTGCTTTCTCTTTAAACACATTGAAGGACTAAGCTGATGCTGGTTCTGTTTCTTAAATTGTTCCATTTTTAGGTTTGAGATATTGAAAATAAACTTCATATTAACCTCCAACCCCATGCCAGCACCTGAACATCCTAGATTTACTTTCTTCCATTTCTCTTTCCTCCCCCTCTATTCCGAAGCACCCTAGTATCTTACGTTTGCTGACTGCCGACTTTATGCTTTGTCATATATGCGTGGGTTACGTGATTATATTACAGCAATTTAGAAGCAAGTTTTTCTTTTGTACCCTGAAAGATGTCCTAAGGAATCAGCATCTGAACAGCAGCTTTTATTAATTAAACAACCTGTGATAACTTTGTCTGAACTGACAGGAAATCCACAAGAGAGAGGAAGCCAATCTCTGACTGGTGCTAGCAATAGACTACACAGATTAAATTTGATGTCTAGCTTATAAAATAATCAATATATAGTTTCAGACTGTTTAATGACTCCTTTGACTAAACAAAGAATCTGTTTACTGTTCTGATAAATTACTATATTGTAACTTGGCTGGATTCTACAGGTAATTATAATATTACAACATAATTACTATATACATAATTACTATATATATACATATAATATGTATGTGTGTGTATATATATATGTATGTATATATATATATATCCTGTGACCATAGACATAAACCAATTCCAATTCACCTGGGTATAGGAATTATGATTGGAACAAATAAGAATCAGATTTTCTTTTAATATTTTTTTCCTGTTCAAAACATGTAAGCAAGTATTTTTCAAGGTAGATAAATATTTTTCAAGGTTAGATAAAAACACTGCTCTGCCTTTAGATAGATTTTTGAATTCTTATTAACATTTGATTTTTTAAAAGATTTTATTTATTTATTTGTCAGAGATCACAAGTAGGCAGAGAGGCAGGCAGAGAGGGAGAGGGGGAAGCAGGCTTCCCACTGAGCAGAGAGCCCGAAGTGGGGCTCGATCCCAGGATTCTGGGATCATGACCTGAGCTGAAGGCAGAGGCCTTAACCCATCAAGCCAGTCAGATGCCCCAACATTTGATTTTTAAAAAGGAGTTTCATATACTTTATTCGTAAGTAAAAAAAAAAAAAAAAATCACTCTTATATTGATCATTCTGATAATTATTTTAATTTATCATCTTGTGGTTTCATGCAAGAAGGGTAAGAACACTGCTCTTCTCCCACCAAATTCTGGACATGCTTGCTGAGGGGAAGCTGTATACCATGCTGTTATATGGTGCTCAATAAATACTTACCGACTTAATACATTGGGATTAAGCTAAAGAACAAACTCTTAAGGACTTTTCTAAAATGGGCAGTCTGTAATTAAACCCAGAAAATGTATAAAGAACTAGCCACATTGTTTCCATTTAACATACTTTGTAAAAACGTCTCTCTCTCTCTTGCTCTCTCACTCTCATTTATCTAATTGATCATCTTAGTTCAGATGTAATCCTGACTTGCCATTCCCTGGTACCACAAAATAAGATGCTTCTGAATGTTTTCTACTAGGGGGTGGGGTTGGATGACTTCCTAGGATTTGGAAATATGTGGGGCTATTCACTGGATGTCACAACTTGAGACTGGGGAGACATTACTGAGATTTAGATCCTGGTATGCCAGGAATGCTAAACACCCTCTAACACAGGGGCCTCTCAAGGAAGAACTGTCTGACCCAAAATGCCAATAATGTCAACACAAAACTGCCACTTTCAAGGATCTTCAAGATGATGAAGGATTCTATTTTAGCTTCTATATAACATAGTACTATGATATCATAATTCCTATGGAACAAAAGATACTAAATTAAAATTAGTACTACTCAAACTAATTTACCAGCCAAGTATTTCTAGGTTCAAGAATATTTTAAGGATTCCCAAGCTATGTTTTATAATTCTGTATATTTTATACAACTCCTAGAAAACGAATATTTTACCACAGAACAGAAGACTTATGACTCATAGGTAAAGACCGGTTCTTGATAAGAAGGCTTTACTGTCCAGTATATACTGTGTTAATAAAAGTCATGTCTTCAGAGAGTATCTTCACTCTTCCTGTAAGGACTCTAGACTTTTCCAGAGACTCTTTTAGGAAAATCACAGCTTGCCAACTTAATAAATCTATCATCTATCACATGCAGACTTAAACTAAATGTTGATTTTATTTTTTATTTTTTTTAAAGATTTTATTTATTTATTTGAGAGAGAGACAGAACAAGAGAGAGAAAGAGAGGGCACGAGGGAGGTGAGGGTCAGAGGGAGAAGCAGGTTTCCCACTGATCAAGAAGCCCAATGTGGGGCTCGATCCCAGGTCTCTGGGACCAAGACCTGGGCTGAAGGCAGATGCTCAACTGACTGAGCCACCCAGGCACTCCCAAAATGTTGTTTCTAATAGCTACTCAGGGTTGCCTGGTCATGATCTGCCTTCAGCTCAGGTCATGATCCCGTTGTGGGACCAAGTTGTGGGTTGTGGGACCAAGTCCCTTTTTGGGGTCCCTGCTTCTCCCTCTGCCTGCCACTCCCCCTGCTTGGGCTCTCCCTCTCTGTCAAATAAATAAATAAAACCATAAAAAATAAATAAAATAAAAGCTACACAGAACTGACTTCTAGAAACACAGTCTAGAATCCTCTTAAATTTTGATTGTAGTGAAAAAATCTTCACTAATTCACTTTAAAATAGTTAATAATGAAAAAAAAAAAAAAACAAACTGCGCCTGTTCAAATCTGCTGATTTTGACATTCGTATTTGCTTTAGTATATGTTTTATTTCTAACTCCAGAAAAACAAATAAAAAGCAGCTTTCCTTTTAACCCTGCTTTCTAACTTATCTACGAATATAAATAACTTACAAAGTCACTGCAGGGATTTGGGACATTACTGGGGGTCTCCGAATGGCTCCTGTCCTCCTTATCTTTGTTGCATGAGATCTCCTGGAGCGCCATCACACTCTGCAGGGCTAAGGGCATGGCATCCTAAAACCCAAGAACAAAGTCACAAAATGGGCAAAGTTCTGAAGTTCCATACCATTAAATGTATCCCACGTGTGTACTTCATCACCATAACCTTCCATTACCATGGAGAAATTAATACCAAAAAGAAAAAAAGAAAGGAAAAACACATCATGAGTACTCTATATAATGAGTTTACTTGTGACAATCTATTTTCTTACTTCCCCCCTGTCACTTTCTCCTACTATTCTGTATGACACCTTTTTTATTAAGTGGACTCCACCTTAAGATCCCTCATTGACCATTCTTCAGTATTCAATTCTTACTGAATCCCTAATTTTATGGTTCAGTCATTTAGCATCTGCCTTTGGCTCAGGTCATGGTCCCAGCGTCCTGGGATCAAGCCCCATGTCGCACTGCTCAGCAGCACTCAGCACTCAGCAGGAAGCCTGCTTCTCCCCTCTCACTCCCCCTGCTTGTGTTCCCTCTCTCTTTCTCTCTCTCTCTGTCAAATAAAATAAATAATTTTTTAAAAAAGAAATCACTCCTTTTTGATTTATGTCTTCAGTTTTCCTTAGTGAATTTATTGCTCTTTTTAAAAGAAGATGCTCATGTTCTTGTTGAATGGGTTAGTGGAAATAGAAGACTTTCCTGTCGATGTTCCCAAGATGCATTCACTTCATGAAATGTATACGAAGGACAGGGTTCCCACTGCTGTTTGGCTGTTATAACTAAGTTTTGGTTTTCTTTTCACAGAAAGCAGAGCTTTAGGAAGTGGTTAGCAAACGTAATTATAAAATCTTTGCATCAGTTAATAAATGAGAAAGGAATGTAACTTGGTTATATAACATGGAACTTTTTCTCAAAATCATCATGCCTGTTAACCTAATCCTCTGTTGGTATGATAATTTACCTACGCATGTAAACATCTGCTTCCAAAAATAGATATCCAAGATAAAAACTGGAAAATGGGAAGGGGGGCATTTGTTAACGGAGTTACATGGAATTTTACTCATTGTCTATGTCTCCCAGTCATGCCCATTATCAAGATGTTGCTGAGGACATTATGTCTTCTTTAAGAGATCCATTCTTTCTTTACTGAATATAGTTATACTGCACTTCTATCAGTTTGGTTATGTCTAGTGAGTCTCAACAAGGGCAGGAAAACTTGCTGGGGGATTGGAAATCCAGTGGGGGTGCTTTTTTCTTCTACTGTGGTTGTGCGAAAATATTTGCATATTGTAGTTCTTATTATTTTTTTAGAATTTATTTTCCTTTACATTGATTTTCTTTTATGTAGACCTACCTACCTAAGGTTGAACTACCTGTGAATTTCATTCAGAACTCTAAAGGGGTCATTATGAAACATCAGTTACAAAATAAATAGAGGTGATCCGTTCATCTAGGGTGTGTAATCGTATGTCCTTCTATAAGTTGGCTTCTCAGAGACTTAGAGCTAAATTTGAGATCCACACGTGGGTTTCTGCAGTTTTTATACAGCCTTTATGTTATGCTCTTTTGGCTCTTTAGTTCTCCTCCAATTTCATCTTGTGTCCCCCTTTGATTTTCTCTTTCCTTTCAGTCCCACTTTTAAATTTGCAAATATGTGTTTTAGGTACTAGAAAGGGATATACAAGGATAATCCAACAAAGAAAGAAAATTTCTGCCAAATCAGTTTTGCACTAATGAACTCACCCCAGTTAAAAGGAATGTGTGCTGATGGTCCAGCACCATGGGGCAATCATGTGAGCTAAGGCCCCACAACATGGCCACTTCAACTGTGAGCAGGACAGGGCAGATAAGCGAACGAAGAACAGAACCTACATCTCTATCCTGGCTTCCCTCACTGGCAGTTTGCAGCCTCCCAAATCTGATATGGTATCAGTGAATTTTATTGTATAAATTCGATCACAAAAAGGCATGAACATGCACATTTACTCTTCGGAACAACCGTGGACACCAATACCTTCTCATAGAAACACTGGAAACGGTTGTTGTGTCTTACCTACCTGGATGTGTTGATGACAGAGTGCAATGTTCTTCACACAGTGCCTCACCGTCTTTTCTAAAGATCTGAACAGCTTTTCTTCTCTATTGAAGGTATTGTCTTTCACCTATAATGCAGATGAAATTATTTATTTTTATAAATCAAACAAATCTGGTGTGGTTTTTTTTTAAGATTTTATTTATTTATTTGACAGAGAGAGAGAGAGATCACAAGTAGGCAGAGAGGCAGGCAGAGAGAGAGAGAGGGGAAAGCAGGCTCCCCACTGAGCAGAGAGCCCGATGCAGGGCTCCATCCCAGGACTTCTGGGATCATGACCTGAGCTGAAGGCAGAGGCTTTAACCCACTGAGCCACCCAGGCGCCCCACAAATCTGGTGTTTTAAAGAAATGTCATAGGCTACATGAGCCCAGCACATGACAAAGAGACTCCTTGTTGAGATGAAAACCTTCCGTGTAGTGCTGACTGCCTTGGCACAGTACGTGCTGTGTACAAGCGTGCCGCACAACTTCAGTTAGTGTAGCGAAGCCCCCCTCTGCCGGTTAAGCATGGAGCTTTGTCTGCGTGATGGTAGCTGGGGGAGGGAAAACTTTTCTCTGCAGTTTATAATGGCATATATGACATATGTACTCTGAAATTATGCCCCTTTTGAGGGTTCATAAAATAATTAATATAATAAAAAATCAAAATTAAAATAAGATAAATATTTCATCTCTTGACTGGAACTGTTTTGTTGTTATGACTCATTCCAATTAATTTAGAAAGGATTCTTAGCTTCTTGGCTAAAGAAATGCGGTAATTCTTTACCAACTCAAATTTGAAAAGTTGAATGTGATCTTGGCCAAAAGAGCCCCTCTGTGGGGAAAACTCAGCAGAGTTAACATAATAGTCACATGTGTTCAGTTATTTTTAGATATTTTATCTTATTTTATTGATAAGACCATAAGTGTTATTATTATTAATGGTAAGAAGTATTTCTTGGCTATCACAATATTGACAAAAGAACAGAACCAGCTTCATGCTGGCAAAATCTGTGTGAACATGCAAATGATTTGTGGTACATGGTGGGTACTCTTCAATTTGGTACTGGGTAGTAACCATAGCTGTTCTCTGTTCATAGGTTTGATAATTTAAGATCGTGGACCTTGGTGGAGTCCGGGGGAGATGGTTGACCTTAGAGCCAAGTGCACAGAGAATGGTGCTATTTTATCTTATTTTTAAACCCCTTAATATTGTCTGTCTAAAAAGCTTTTGGTTAAATAGGTAGCATAGTCCCTTGTAATTCACACAACATTCAAGACTGTCTGCCTCAGGACCTCTATCCTCTAATCTAGTTTGACGTATGGAATAATATGCTGGGGCAGATTATTCTAAATGCGGGTTTCAAGGACCCATCACCAGCTATTTTATTTTGTGTATCTTGGCAGGGATCCAGATGATTCTAAAATAAGACATTCAAGGATCACAGTATGAGAAATATTTTCCAGTTCTACGTTCCTACAGCCAAGCCCTTCTCATGCTGCTTTATTTTGCTGGAATACACTGCTGTCCCTTTCTCTACCTTGCAAAATTCTGTTTCACTTTTTTAAGGACTCAACTGTCACCCCTTCTGTGAAACCTCCCTTGAATCCCTATTCTTTTCACTGTAGAAAATTAATTGCTCCCCCATGTGCTCTTCACAACACCAGTTAATTATTTAAGTGATTCTCTCCACTGATAAATGGCAAGCATTAGAGATTAAGCACTTTTTGTCTTAATAATAATAATAGCTAACATATATTAAACACTAACTAAGTTCCAGGCACTGTGCTAAAACCTGCTTTCCATCTTCTCATTTTGATTCTTACAAAGCTCTATGGCATAGGTGCCACAATGAATCCCATTTCAGAGATAAAGAAACAGAAGCTTGGGAGCTGTGGCAAAAATAGTGGATGTTCCCCTGACATCCTTTTACTGGCCGGATTCGCACCTCTAGTTTAAGTTGGACATGTGGCTGTCCTGCTAGAGACTACCCTTTCCCTGCAGCTGGTTCTGCCCTCGTAACTGGTTTGGGTAAATAGATGTTAGCTAAAGGGTATATTTCACTTCTGAATTTTGGCCTTACAACCTTGCCTTTGGGACAAGACTGAAGACACAGCAGTGACCCAACTTCAGCCAAGCAGATGGAGACAGCATGTTTGGGGGACAGCGCAGCACAAAATTGGAGACAGCTGGGATCCTAAAGAATTTTGTGCAGCAGAGCCCATCTGGACTCACATCTTAGGACTATTACAAGAAAGAGATATAAACGACTTCCCAGCTTACACTACTTTGTTTTGGAATCTCCTTGTGAAAGGAGCTTGGCCTTTAACCTAAATAATACAGGACATTAAAGAAATTTATCCATGTTAATAGGTAGAACCAGGATTCAAACCCAAGGAGTCTGAATTCAGAATTTCTTTGTATACCAGATCTCTAACACAGTGTCTGGTATAGTGAGTTCAATACATGTGTGATGAATTGAATAGCATCTTCCTCTTGGGTAATAGTTTTATACCCTAACTCCACCAAATATTTCACTTGAGCTGCTGACAAGTGCAAAATTGACTGATTTGAGATTTATCTCTTCTGCAGATCAGCCTATGCAGCTGATTTTCTGATTAACAGTGAAATGCTTCATTGCTGACGGGACATCTTCTCAAAAGATTAAGGGGAAAATCTAATTAATATCCCTTCAGGCCACTTTACCTACAACTCACTTTTAGTTCACAATTGGAAAGTATCAGAAGCTGATGATAAATATGTTAAAGAATGTAACAGCTTCTACAAAACCTGCTCAGAATTCAGACCTGCCTATTGTTCCTCAATAGAATTGTCTTAAGTCAGAAGTAACAACCTAAAGAGTAGGGGAGAATTGTGTGCATGACATTTACACATACCTATGAAGGCTACAGTCTCTTCTACAATTGAATTCCCAACCCAATTTTAGTACTGTTGCTTTTAGCTCAAATGACTTGATTTTCCTCTCCCTGATCTATGACCATACAACCCTAATGTCCCAAACTTCTCACATTATGGTTTAGCACTGGGAGAGGGGCCTGGAGTTATTTCCTGCATGCAATGGACCCAGTGAGCCCCTAGAAGAACATAAAGGATGATACATACCACAGAATCCAAGAATGGCCATATTGGATATGGAGTAGTAAAGTAGGTACAGCCACAGGAGAAAACAGAAACAAGGCTTGGAAGAAGTTGATTATAGTGGACAAGTCCTAAAGAGGAGGTCACTGCATGCCATATAGGGCCACAGGGCAATCACCAGGTTTTGGTCAGGTGGCAGAAAGGAGCAGGGGGAAAGTCAAAGCCAGAGCCTCTATTGTGTTTTTTTGTTGGCAACCCTATAGAAATACCTGGATCAGGATAAACAGTTCAGGATTGGCCAGTTTGAGTAATTCCCATGGGCTTTGGGCTTTCGTGGTGGTCTCCACTTGCCTGGTAGCTGGCCCTAGGATGACTTAAGGCAGAGGAACCCCCTTTGGTGTGTGAGAGATAGATGAGAAAGTGTTTGGGGCTACAGACTCAGGATTGCTTGGTTGTCCTATGAAAGAAGTGATCCCAGCTGAGCTCTTTGGATTCTCTAAGAATGGATTAGCCCTGGGAGGAGCATCTCTCAGTGCCAGCCGCTTTTTCAAGATGTCAAAACAGCATAAAATACAGAAAGTAAAAGACCTGACTAATACACCATGCATAAAGGAGTTTATATCTAAGCGAGAAGTAAGAAGTCTGGATGTTAAAAGCTAGTAAACAGTAATACACTGTTCAGCGATATGAAATGCTGCTGCTGCTGCTGCTGATGGTGATGGTGATGGTGATGAAGGTGATGATGATAGCCAATAGGTACTGAGTGCTTACCCACCGTGTTAGGCACTTTCAACATATGCATCACCTCATTTCATCCTCACCAGCCCTCCGCGTGGAAGGTCCTAGTATAACCTCGATGATTCCCTTGGATTTAAGCTATGTACCCAAAGGCAAATGTTAATTAAGTGGCAGAAGTGACATTCTAATCCAGATCTGGATGACTTCAAAGATTCTGTCCTTACTTTCTGCCTTGTGCTGACTCCAGCAAATGTCCACAGGGCCAAGAATGGGAAACACTCCTTGTCAAGCATTCAGAAGAGGAAGAGGCCACCACTATCTTAGGGTTAGAAAGCTGCAAAGGCTCAATGGAAAAAAGGAAAAAGACCATGGTAGCTAAAGAGTGAAATAGATAGGACAACCAGTGCTGAACTACCATACAGTTGCCTCTAGTTCAAATTGAAACCTTAGAGATGTTAACATAGTAAGGGATAAAATCAGGAAAATGAGAAGAAAAAAAAATACTATATGGTATCTTAAGAACTATCCTGCTTGATTTCAATTAGAAGCCCACTGAAATCCATCTTCAGGCCATGAACTTTCTATCTTGTGATTCTCAAAGTGTGTTCCTTTGGTCACTTACTTCAAGGTCATTTAGCTTCAAAACACCTGGAGTTTTGTAAAAATACAGACCGCTAGATTGCACCCTTGAACCAGGAGAAGCCCTGGGAATCTTTTGGCAAGCTCCTCAGGTAATTGTTCCACACATTAAAGTTTAAGAACCTTCGTTAATCCATCCATTATTTATTGGGGGTTGAGATGAAAGGGGTTCAAACCAGGCTAAACAGGTGATGCAGAACAATTATCCAGTAACATAATGTACATAGGCAGTGGGAGAGAGGAAAAGAATAATGGTAGGAAAAAAAATCACACCAAGGTAAGCACCTAATCCCCCCCCTTTTTTATAGATGAAATAAAGTTAAGATGAACATTAAAGGAACATGAAAGGAAAGAGAGGTTTAAAAAAAAAAACAGAGGTAAAATAGGGAGGAAAGGAGGACATTGCCTTGGATGAGATTATGTGCTGGTTGATTGTGAAAGTCAGGACTTCTGGGGTGTCCCATGTTGACCCCTGTCCTCATGTCCTTTTCTCTCCTTTGCTTCCTCAGTGGAAGCACCACAGCTAAAAGGTGTCAAAACCACCCGCATTGGATTTCCCCCCAAAAAGGGAGAAAGGATCAACATCAGACAATGACCTTGATTCTCATTGTTCTAGAAACAGCTCTGATAACAACCAACAGGACCCTCATAAAAATACCAGCACTCATATGCCCCAGGAGGACGTAAATGGCTAAAGAAGAAAAATTACCTGTGGCTCTCCTCTGGTCAGAATCTTTAGGTGATTTGTCACTCTTTTTGATTTCTTGCTAATTGAATGAATGTTTAGTTTAGACAATTTATCTTTAAGTGATTCATCCTCATCATTCCTCTTGTATTTTAGAACTGCAATGGAAGAATGCAATCACATATTTGAACACATACAACATAGAAAGTTGCATCCAAAGAATTCAAGATCCATATTTAAGACAGAAATCTATGTGATTTTTGACCCTCTGATGCAGATACAATATGCTCTGGTCCCACTGCCCAGGCATAAGTCCAGCTGCCCAACCCACTGACCAGAAACTCAGATGTCTAGGGGCTTGAGCGCCTCAAAGCTCAAGGTCCATTTACCTTCCACATTAAAGAAATCTCTAACACTGGAGAAAAACTTTCTCCCTTCTCAGATAATACATTTGTTATCTTCAGTCTCTAGAATGAAGCATCAAGACCTAGCTAAGGAAACTGTACCCAGCATAAGGAGACCTCAGACTCTAGAGGGACTCCACTAGCTGAGACATTTGGGGTAAGTTGAGTCACCTCTCAGAGCTTTACTTTTTTATCTTCAAGATTGTTTTCGCCTCTCATATTATTCAAAATGTTAAATATTTCTAACGTTCAGTTTTGGTAAGGGTGCTGGGAGATGGGCACTCTTACACACTGTCAGTGAGGATTCAACCATCACAGTTTTTGTGGAGAACAATTGGTCAGAATCTTCTAAATGTATCTTCTGTGACCAAGAAGTCTGTGCAAAGAATATGCTTTCCATAATTAAGCACACAAAGTTTTGTTTGCTACAGTATTTTTTTTTCAATAGCACAATACTGGGAACAATTAGAAAGTTTATCCATAGAGGAAGAGTTAACTGAAGTAGAACACACTCAGAAATAGAATAGCAGGGAACCATTAAAAAAGAGGCCAATATTAACTGGAAGAATGTTCATGACATGTCATTGAGTTTAAAAAACAGGCCCAGAACACTGCAGTGCCATATATGTTCAAGAAAGATGGAGAGAAGGAGAAGAGAAAGAAGAAAGAAAATAGGAAAAAAAAAAAGACATAGAAAGTCTGAAGAAAACTTATGATATGTCCGCTGTGCAAACTGCAATCATGGGAATGGAAAATCTTTCCACTTTAAAACACTGTGAACGAGTTTAAGCAGACAGAAAAGTAAAAAGAACAATATAACAATTTTCTTTCAGCCTTGTCATATCTTAACATTTCACCTTGCTTATCTTCATAAAAATGATCAGCTGAAGTTTCTCTGATCTTCATCTTTGATCCCTTAAAGGGAATTATGATCCTAAAGAATGGGGTTGACTGTACCTGTATCTATTTTTATACATGGATTTGTATAATACATAGTATTATTTTGAACATTTTTGATGTTTATAAAAATGACAGCATATATATTCTTCTGTCACTTGTCATTTACTTTTTAGAAAACTCAATATTGTGTTTTTCAGATTTATTCAATTGACGCATGCATTTTAATTTGTGTGTTCTCATGGTATCATAGTGTCCAATACATGGTTTGTCCATTATCTGGATAAATATGTAAGCTATTTTCCTCTTGCTTTTATGAACAATACTAGTTACTAGTATACCTATTTATGAGCATAGGGGAAAGGGTTTCTCAAATATCTGGATATTGATTTTCTGAATCTCGGGTGTGGGCATCTTTAACTTTACTAGATATTGTCAAGTTATTCTCTATAGTGGTGATTCCCACTACATTGTTGCCTGCAGCACTTAACATTATACCTTAAAAATCTTTTTTTAAAATATTTTATTTATTTATTTGACAGAGAGAGAGAGAGAGATCACAAGTAGGCAGAGAGGCAGGCAGAGAGAGAGGGGGGAAGCAGGCTTCCTGCCGAGCAAAGAGCCCCATGTGGGGCTCGATCCCAGGACCCCGAGATCACGACCCGAGCCGAAGGCAGAGGCTCAACCCACTGAGCCACCCAGGCGCCCCCTCTTAAAAACCTTTTTGACAATCTGATAGGATGGGAATGGTATGTCATTGTGATTTTAATTTGCATTTCTCTCATTACAAATGAAGCTTAACCTTTTTTTGTATTAGAATGGCTTTATTATTGATTTAGTATCAGTAATTATATATTCTAGATAGTAATCCTTTGCCTGTGGACTATCTTTTAATTTATTATGGTGTCTCTTCCTCTACAACTTTTCTATTCTAGGCCCTTCTTTATAATTTTAATTTATTAACACAAATACAGATTATTTTTTTCAATAAAAATTTAGAAAACAAAAACAACAAAAATAAATGAAATTGTTGGAGCAGTTAGCTGCAATGTCCTACCATTGTTTTAATGTTAGAAGATTTAATGTTAGAAGTACAAAGCCAAGAACTTATGGACACAAATCACACTGACAGAGGACCCACACACACAGTCTATCCCAATGTGTTACTACATCGCAGATGATAGAAACCGTGCAATTGTGCCTCCTGTTTTGAAATCTACATTCCACTCCAGACATGAATTTTACATCTCAGCTAACAAATACCTCACAATAATTCCATAATTCGAGAAAGAAATACACTTGCTCCCTTCAATGGAGCAATTATGGCTACAAAATCTCTATTTCTTATGTGTTAGAACCAGATGAGCTTGATGTATTAGCTGGGCCTGTTTCACCACTGATGTGGCTGGAGCTTCTCACTACTCCAGCTTTCTGGCCATGCCATGTCTCCTTCTTCCCACACGTATCACCAGTGACAGGAAGACTACATGCTATGATATCATCAGCCCACAGTATGTCACCAGGCAAGGAGTGGTCAATGGAGGTTGAGTAAAGGGCGGCTTGATTTTTTAAAAATTTGTCTTTTTTTTTTTTTTTTTTTTGGTGCCTCACGACCTCGAGTCCAGCTGGCCAGGCAAAACTACACTCTGCTCCTTAGCCTCTAAGTCTAGATATCGAATGATCATGATCACAGCAACTGCTATAACTACTTAGATATTCTGATTCTCAGAAGTATAGGCAGAACACTCCAATCACAGAAAACACTCAATTCATCATGTTTCTACTTACCTAAATCTTTCCGTCTTTTAAGTTCATTGATGTTCACATTAATGTCTTTCACTGCAGTGAAGGCATCTCCCAGAGCCCTGAAGTCTGGGTGGGAGGGAGGGGTGGAGCTTCGGAGTTCACACAGCAAGAGGGGGTATTTCATTACACGCTGGATTGGTTTGATCATCAAAGAGCCCATGTCCAGTAAGTTTGGTTTGCCTCTACAATAGAGATAAATAATATCAGTTTCCCAGACATTTGTTTTATCATTTTTGTGATTTTTATGAGTTATCCTGAAACTGTTTTTCTCCTTTATTTTTCCTCTATTTGGCTGTATACAAATTCTAAAAATAGAGCAAGAGAAATGGGTGACAGAGAGAAGCCAGGCTAAAAGACCCTACTACTAAGCAGAAACCTACAAGAAAGCACATGAGCGTTATCTGCCTGCCAAGAAGGACTCAAAGCAGGATTTCCATCCATGTTCCGTTTATACTTTTTAAATAACAAGATTGATAATAATAGTGGGAAATAATTTCAGAATGCATTTTTCCATGACAACCAAGAAAAATGCATTGTCCTGATGGTATTTTTGTGATTATTAGTGAAGAAAAGAAATTCATTATTTACAAAGATGACTTGCCAAATATAGTCAAAAGAAAGCATTGTTGGGGCGCCTGGGTGGCTCAGTGGGTTAAAGCCTCTGCCTTCGGCTCAGGTCATGAGGTTCAGGTTCTCTGCTCCACGGGGAGCCTGCTTCCTCCCCTCTCTCTCTCTGCCTGCCTCTCTGCCTACTTGTGATCTCTCTCTCTCTCTCAACTAAATAAAATCTTAAAAAAAAAAAAAAAAAGAAAGCATTGTTTCCTTTCTTCTACCAAATTGAATAGTTGAATTCATGATGTTTCAGAGGTTCTACCACAGTCTCCAAAAGAGATTTATAATAACTGCAACAATGTAAATTCTGTAAATTAATTATTAATACCACCACTATCACTAATCATTGCTATCACACGACTTTCCACGATTTTCCATGTGGAATTCTTCTTAGCCAATAGATCTTCAAATGGCACATAAAAGTGAGCACTTATGCCTGACTCTTCCTTTAGGAGCTTCTGAGATGAGAATAGAACTATCCCAACTAGCCAAGCAGTTCACAGGAAGTGAAAAACCTAGAAGTCATTGTCCAACCCACTGTTCAATCATTTTTTAATGAGAAGTCAGTGGTTTCTAAAAGCCTTTTTATGCAAAGAGACAAATAAAGAGACACAATAAATGAACATGGGTAGAAATTGTGCTTTGAATCCCTTCTGGTGGACAGATACACTCAGTTGTTTTCCTTTAGGTCTTTTGTTTGTTTGGCTTTGGCTTTGGTTTTGGGGTTTTGTTTTTGTTTTTGTTTCTGTTTTAGTAGATAAGAATGTAGATGGTTTTCAAATCATAGTAGGTGAATTTTTTTATTCTTCAATTATTATTTCTAAATATTAATATAGAGGGACAACTTACCACAACATTGGAATGGTGAAATGGATCTAAAAATCTTTGGACAAGATCAAAGATAAAAGTTTATCATCAGAAAAGGTCTGAAAACACCTCAGAGACCATCTAATTGAACTCTTCATATGATAAATGAGAAACTAACAAACTTTGATGATCATGTGTATGTGCACACATACATGTACACACACACACACGCACACAAGCCAACCACCCTCTATTATATCTCCCCATTTTTATTTTTATGGTAGCACTTTCAACTCTCTGGAATCATTTTGTTTCCCTATTTACCAGTTTATGCTCAATTTGTCATCACTATGTGTCTGGCATGACATATAGTATTTTCTCAATGAATATTTGGAGATTGAAATGATAGATTTTGGATTTTCTGTAATGCGCTTTTATTTTACATTGAATTTTTTTCCAAAAACATTGCACAATGATCCTGAATAATAGAGGAGTTTTATCACATGCTGAGAAAATAATGACACTATAATAAAAAAAGATTGAAACAAACAAAAGTCAACATTTTTTTAAGGAAAATCAAAGTAAATATTAAAGATCTGCAAGGGAATAAAGAGCTGTTTTAATATGATTTATCTTGTACTTTCTACCCATTTACACAAATCTCTTAAGGAAGGGAGGAAGGGATATAAGGAGACAGGATGGCAAGGAGGGAATGAAGAAGATAGGGAGAGAGAGATGTTTTGGTTTCCAGGAGTACTGAGTGAAGCGGATGGGAAAAAATGTAAATCTATTATGAATGCTAAAAAAAGTAACACAATATATTTTCTAACTGATGGTGTATCAAAAGCAGAACACTTGAATATGAAATATAGCATTTTCTTACATATCTCAAGCAGAGAGTCTTCAGCAATACAACAGTTTAGACAGTTAAGTAGAAATAATTCCCCTAAATAAAAACAAGTCTGGAATATAGAAGGTATTAACTTGACCAGAAGAAATCATATTATCTGTATGAATATAATCAGAATTTCTTCTACATGCTTCCTTTGACTATCATCAAATATTAGTTTATTTAATCTAAAAATTACTGAAAATGCCATCAATTATAAATATAATCAAACAGCTCAAAGAAAACTCAATTTTAATGATAGTTTATTAGCATGGTCTATTGTTATATGCATATTTCAAATTTTTAATTACAAAAAGTATCCCCAGATGTATTAAAGGACATGCTTGTGTCTCTGAACTGCCTCTTTTCTTCCTTATCAAGATCTTTCAAAAAACCAGCCTCAACCCTTTAGTTGTGTCCACATCTTATCATTAATTCTTTTTCCATTACTCTTTTTTTTATAAGTCTGTTTTTTTTTTTTTTTTTTTTAGATTTTATTTATTTATCTGACAGACAGAAATCACAAGTAGGCAGAGAGGCAGGCAGAGAGAGAGAGGGAAGCAGGCTCCCCGCTGATCAGAGAGCCCAATGCGGGGTCCGATCCCAGGACCCTGCGATCATGACCTGAGCTGAAGGCAGAGGCTTAACCCACTGAGCCACCCAGGCGCCCCCCATTACTCTTTTACATCAAACTTCTAGTCTCTCCCTTTTCTCTTTCAAATGATAATAATAACAATTATAAATGAAACTAAAAGTGTCAGAAATGCAAATATTTCAAAAGGCTTTCTCAAAAATGAGAAATCTCCCAGACACTTTTGTCTTCAGACATGTACTTTGGACAGCCCAAGTGATATTCTGATATCTGCATCACACAGACAAGCAATATGGTAGAAAAGATAGAGGATGTCTTTTAAGATAATGACACTCCAGGCATTCACCCCATCTAATCCCTTCCAGTAAGATTAAGTTCTGATAACTTCGAGAGGCAAATGAGTCCTATGGGTGTTATAACCCAGCTTAGCCAAGGACCCATTATCATATATATCCCCAAAAGAAAGTAACAATTTCCCATATACACCAGGCTAAAAACTAAGGTAGTCATTAATTTGTAATTCTGTTTCATCTTCCTCTGTCTTATCACGAATACTTTGACAAGTATTTAGTACCATAAGTAGCTGCACTAATCTCATTGTGAATTACTAGGACTTTACAAAGTCAAGTAAACACAGCTGGCTTTGTTTTAACAGCAGCCAGTTTTGCTATAGAGAGCTTCCCATCCAATACAAGAGAACAGTCTCACAATGAAAATAAAAATGACATTTAAACAATGTAAAAACTGTGGTGGAGGACAAAGAATCAGATATACAACATTGAGGTCCACCAATATATCTTAATTAGAGGGAGAAAACAGAGGAAGGAAAAATAATCATTTAAGTATTGATCAGATTACTTTGAATTTCCTCTGTTTTATGACAATAAGTATCCTAAATTTAATATTAATTTTAGAGTAGCCACAAACCATGTATACTGTTATTGAGTTTATTTTCAATTCACTCTCCTTTAAAAACACCTTGAGTCAATTTTAGAAAAAACAGTATATTCTTATACACACAAATAAACAAATAGGATTTGGCACAAATAAAAAATTGTGAAAATAAATACAGAGCCATTAACAAATTTTAGGAGATGTAAAGAACATGAATGAATGGTAATTGATTTATTACTGGAGAGATTCGAACCAGAGAGAACCAGTAATATGGAGAGGCAATAATTTAATCATTCCCTAAAGATTCATTAATTAGACCCTAAGAACCTGTGGAAGTAGAGAGAGAGGGAGTGGGGATTAGAATAAGAAGAACTGGTTGGAAACCTGTTTAAGAAATGGCCTAATTTCTAGGATGCTCTACATATAAGGAGATCATTTGGAGAACTAAGAAAGAGCTCTTGGAAATTGAAAGAATAATAGTAGAAATATGGGGCGCCTGGGTGGCTCAGTGGGTCAAAGCCTCTGCTTTCGGCTCAGGTCATGATCCCAGGGTCCTGGGATCGAGCCCCACAGTGGGTTCTCTGCTCAGTGGGGAACCTGCTTTCCCCTCTCTCTCTCTGCCTGCCTCTCTGCCTACTTGTGATCTCTGTCAAATAAATAAATAAAATCTTAAAAAAAAAGAATAATAGGAAAAATAAAATCTCACAAGTGTTGGAGAAAATGTTCAAGAACTTTCCAGAAAGAAGACCAAAAATACAAAGGGATATAAGATGGAAGGAAAATGTGAAAAAATTAGATTGGTCTGAAAGATCCAATATTGAAATAAGTGGAGTCCCAGAAAGTGGGAACAGACCACATATGGGGAGGAAATCATCAGAAAAATAACTCAGGAGCAGGACATGAGTTAGCATGTTGAAAAAACTCACTGAGTACTTAGCACAATGGACGAATTGGATTCACACCTGGGAATTCAGGGAACGTCCGACTACAGGAGACAAAGAGAAGACCCTATAATCTTTTAGAGAAACACGTGAACAAATGGGCACAAACACATGGTGAAGAATGAGAACAAGCTTCAGCTTTCTTATAGCAACACTGAAAGCTAGAACATAAGGAAAAATTGCCTTTAAATTCTGAAGCTGAGAGATTTTTAATTTAGAATTCTATACGTGATCAAACTATAAATCACCCTGAAGGTAAACTAAAGAATTTTTGGATATAAAATTTCTTAAAACTTTACTTCCTGTCCATTCCCAGTGAATACAGGAAAGTACTGAAGTACTAAAAACAGGAAAGAGGTAAAGAGATACTCCAGGACGACAAAATCTCCTTAAAAACAGCTGTGCCCAGTTATCCAGTCCAAACTCAACAGGTCAGAATGTCTGGGA